CCCAGCGTCCACATCAGCACTACCAACACAACCTACGAAGCTCGTCATGGCGTTATGGGATTGTCTGTTATCACTGCGGGTCCCTAAAGAACCGGGGAATCGCCGCCGGCATGCAAGTCAGCCAGCATCTCATACACGATGAGTTGAGGTGAACTTATCCGCCTGTCGGACGACCCCACCATCTTCCCAAAGACATTGTAAGGCGACTTTCATGCACTCCTGGCCTGCGGTTCTGTATACGGTAACACTCTCTGCGCCGTATTTGAAGCCATACTCTGTTCATATCTACCGAGAATGTCCCTCGCCCGATCTCCGGGCCTTCACTTTTGTCCTGGGATTGGTCACTTGCTTGTCCGACTAGGCCCGGTAGACTTGCTGCCTTGCACCGAAACAACCAGTCGCATATGAACGAGCCCATGAGTCACCTCAGGCCGTGCGTGATGGTGTGGACTACACATCGTCATCTCCCATTAACTGCAGGTTATATGGCATCGACGCATGCTGTACTCGAGGTAAGTGGGCTTGCGTGGCATAAGGATAGAGAGAGAATGCATAAAGGACAACATCTGCCCGGTCTTTGAAGTTGGATCTGTAACCTCGAACAGGAGAAAACAAATAAACCACACACCAAACAAACGCAGTTATGATGAGAATAGCCATCGTCGGAGCCGGAGGTCTCGCAGCCATCCTCACCCGCCACATCACACAGACGGCCAACCCTGTGATAGTCCTTTCTAGAGATGTTGGTTCTCCGTTCCTAATCATCCTAATGGTTACTGCTAAAATGAGCTTGTACAGGCAAGACCGGACTGGGAGCAACGCTACGACTGCCAGGTCGCCGTCGTTGACTACGATGACGCCGAAAACCTCAGATTCGCCCTCCAAGGCATTGATCTCGTCATCTCAACGATCCGCGGCCATGAGCAGATCAAACTGATACACGCCGCCCGCCATGTCCGGGTGCGTCTGTTTGTCCCGGCAGAGTTCGAAGGCTCGATTTCTCGCAGACCATCTGATGACGACCCCCTGGACTACGGGTCATCCGAGGCCATCGAGCTGTTGAGACACTGCGCCGGCTCCAAGTCCCGCAAGATGGACTACACGGTTTTCTCCTGTGGCATCCTTTACGAACGCTTCGCCCCTGGTGGGTTGGCCGACTATGGCATGGGTGACCGAGCCTGCATAGGCAGCCCGGGAGCCTATCTTGTCGACGTCGGAAACGCCACGGCCGATATCGTCGAGACAGACTCGTCCGGACGTCCGGTTCAGGTATGCATGACTTCGGTGGAAGACGTAGGTCGCTTTGTCGCCGCGGCCATCGAGCTTGGCCCCGGCACCTGGCCTCGGGAGTTCAGGATGCGCGGCGACAGGATGTCGGTTCGGGACATATTTGCCAAGTGCAGCAACGTCAGAGGAGGCGAGTTTGCAACTTCCACTTTGCCGAACGGGCGCGATGGCGAATTGCTAATAATTGGCAGTCGCATTTACCCTGAGGACTCGGGACTGCTCTAAACTCCAGAGCGAACTCGCGCACTGCGAATCACGACAGAACTGGACCCAGTGGTGGAACATCCAACGCCTAATAGCCACCGCCGACGGACGGTACGACTTCCGCCAAGCTAATCTCAACGAGGCTGTTGACTTTCGGCCGGTCGGGTTCAGGACATAGTTGGAGTCCCAGTGGGGGCGATGATAATACTTGGTGCATCAACTTGTGCGCTTTACCTGTAAAGGTTGGGGGGATTCAGAATTTCCATACTCACCCTTTACCCATTGTATCACCACACAATCCCTATACAGCAAGCAGTAAATGATGACTCGTTCACTTGATTGCCCTTAAACTGAACCTAATGTCTGATTAAAATTTTCTTCGCCCACTTTCAATCTTGGTATACCTGCTATATCAAGCGGTAGCTGTGTGGTCCATGTAGTCGACCTGGTGGCCGAAAAGATGACACAGTCCAGACCTGTTCAGCTTATGGCGAGATACCTGGGGACAAGAATGGTATCCATCCATTCTGCACTAATCGGCTTGGCCATCTCTACCCAAACATACTGAATGGAGGCCTCAGCGAACCATTCAAATGGTCGGTACCGGACGAAGTCAAAAGGCAACATGGTGCATATGACTGCATCCTTCGGACCATATCAGGCCTGGTTCCAAGCCCAGATCCAACCCGTGTCCTTTTGGGCGCTGCCATCATGGACCACAGCACTGGCCTTACAGGTGGTCGACCAGGCAATGGTATCGGGCTTGATTCGGCTTCTGTGGCCGGTCCCAAGTACCATGAAATCTGCCATCAACTGCGCCTCTTACACTGTAGTATCGGGGTCGCCAATGCTGACGCGCCCTGCTCTTGCGAGGGTCCCTCCCGAGGCCACGATGACAACCTGCCATTGGCCAGTCTCTTTTCTGCCAGTAATCCGCCTCAGAAGCTTTACGGATGCCCGGATGCAGCAAAGTCAGCAGCGTGCCTTGGGAAAGATACGCACAATGTAGTTATATGCGACTGCATCTTCAGCCCGAACTGTCGACGTCATTCCACAGCAGCGCACCACATTGAGCATTTTTCGCAGTCTTGAATTGCATTATATCAGGCTGCCGGATGCCTCGCGATGCCGGAGCCTATGGCCTAACCATATAGTCGGTTCCTAACTCCCTAGATCGGTCAGGGATTTCCCGCCCCAGAGCCGCGTTGAATTCTCTTCTATTCGCCGTGTTGAATGCCAGGTGACCATCTCAAACAAGCTATTCCGTGTGACACTTTGTACTGTTGAAACTCCGTTGTGTAGATACCATGCGCCCATGCCCGGTCCCATTGCCAGTGTAACCCACACTAATGTCCGCCCCCCCCCGCTCCCGCCGCGCCATCTTGTTTGTTGAAAAGTATTCTCCCAAGTAGCATTGCCCTCGTCTTTCTCATGTGGTCTATGCCTTACGCCTTCTCTGACTCTTCGCCGAACTCCTCCACGACCCAGAGACAGAACTTCTCCCACTCGGTCGCCCACTGCTTGAGCCGGTCCGCCTTGACACCCGACCCCAGGCTCGCCTCCTTGATCCCCGCGGTCCACTCCGCGGGCGTCTCGTCCTCGAACGCGGACCACCGCACGCTGTTCTCGGCCATGGAGCCCAAGCCCAGCAGCCCGACGTTCTCCCACCCCTGCAACGCCTGCCAGTAGTCGTGCGACATGCCCGCCGTGTCCTGGCCCAACATGGCTGGGTCGTCGTTGCAGAGGGCGCAGGGAACGCCGCGGGACAGCAGCGCGGGGAGCGGGTGCGACATGATGGAGCCGCAGAGGCGGAGGACCTCGTTGCTGATGGGGCACGACTCGACGAGGATGCGCTTTTCCTTGATCATGTCGATGAGGAGCGGGTGCTTGTACAGGGAGAAGCCGTGACCGATGCGTCGCGTGCCCAGGAGAACGGCGTCGAAGAGGTTCTGGTCCGTCTCGTCGCCGTCGCCGAGGGTCTCGCCGGCGTGGAAAAAGAAGGGCAGGTTGACGCCCTCCTGCGCGCACTGCTTGCGGAACCAGAAGAGCTCCGGGAGGAGGTCGCGAAGGGGGCGGCCCAGGTCCTCCTGACCGACAAGGTCGTAGCCGGCGATGAGGTGCGGCCAGGACATCTTGGTCGTGATGCAGTTGTCCATGCTCTCGATGATATCGCGCGTGGGCAGGTGGCGGATGGTGGTCCAGATGGTGCGGAAGCCCCAGAAGGCGGCATTGGCGGGATCGGACTTGAAGAGCGCGAGCTCCTCCTCCATCACCTGGAACATGTGGTTGTAGTCCTTCTCCGGCTCTTCTTGGCCGTCACGGCAGTAGTTGAGGGGCCATGTGAACCTGCTTCCGTCAGTGACTGTGGTTCTTGGGAATACGGGAGGAAATGATCCTCACCTGAGCTCAATCCAGTAGATGCCGTCCGCTAACAGCGATGCCATGAGTCTCTTGAGGAAAGCGCGGAAGATGGGCTCGTAGTGGATGATGGTGTTAGTGACCATAAAGCACGAGGCAAATTTGCGCCAAACGGCGTCGATGCCGTGATGCTGCTCCATGCTGTCCGTCAACGTGATGGTGCATCGGGACTTCAGCCATTTGAGGAATCCCGGCCTGCCGCCGTCGGGGTACTCGTCCGCCGCCTTGGTCAACAGCCGGAACTCTCCGGGAACGTAGTCATCCTCCCACGGCGAGTTCTTGCTGTCCTCGGCCTTTCTGAATCTGAAATGAACTCCAGACTTGGACTTTGCCGTCTCGTTCGACAGCGGCGCGTCCGCCGCGAAATGCATGCCGGGGATGTTCAACAGAACATCGAACAGGAAATCAAAGTCAACCATGGCGTCCAAGTGAGCGTGGAGAAGTGAACCCTTGGGCATTTTCTGGACAATGCGCCACAGACGGGTCGTCTCAAGGCGTTGCTTGGCGAGCGTGAACATCATTCCGGGGAAAGGCGCGAGGCCCTCGCTCGTTGCGAGGTCCTCTTCGGCCTGTGCGTTCCATATCGTCCGCTTCTCTTCAAGACGGATGCGGGAAACAATGTCGGCGGCGCGACGGGCAATCGGCGAAGCCGCGCTACGAAAAGATGCGTCGGCACGGGACTTCTGCTCCTGGGTGATAAGGGCCTCACGGCCGTTGATGTACTGTGCGATGAAAGGGTCTGAGACCTCGGGGATGTCCTGGCGGATCTCTTCCCAATCCTCGTTGGTGAGAGACATGGTGGGCGGGCGGACAGTGTAGAACTTTGTGTGTTGGAATGTGAGGAAGGGTGAAAAGGGGAGCGGCGTACGTCGGGTTATTATGAGACCCAAAGCGCCGGGTTATGGGTATTCGAGGTTGGTCGAGATTAGTCAAGTAAGTCACCGGCGGCTTACGATGGAGTTAGGCGGCCTATGATGACAGCGGGGACGCGGGGTCGATTTAATGGTCCGTGCATCCGACCCCACCCGGAGTCCATGCCGTTGCTGCCGGTCCGGTACGGCGTTCTTTTGCATGCTGATCAGCGGGTTATGGTCGTCGTGTCTCCACAATGCCACGGGTGGCATCTGATTGGTACGGTCAAAGTGCTGGATTGAGTGATTGGGCTGATCAGCGAGGACTTGGTCGGTACCGGGTCGGACGCCAGCGAAGGACACGCAAGGTCGAGGGATCTCCTGGAGTGGTGTACCAAGGACAAGGGGCATGCCCGGCGCTTGATGCCGTAGGGAAGCCTGGGGCCGTTGGCTGACTGAATCGAAGAAAGTATGAGCAAAGTGTTCGGAGAAAACTGGTTGAGATATTTGGACAAGATCTTCAAAGCCGGCTAGGGTTCCTGAAACGGACATTGCCAGTTTGGGGAGGGGTGAAGTCGAAGACCGTTGTCAATAAACCCAAAATGATCAGTGCTGGATTTTTCAACAGGTGGTAAGTCGCCGATCCGACTTTCACGTGATAGTATATTCAAACCTTTGCGCATCACGAGAACCAACATCTTTCTGCCCCTCCGCCCTCATACCTGAAGCGCGGTATCCTCCCTGTTCGCATGACTCCCCTTCCTCCACCCTTCCGTCGGATCTCTCTTCCGCGTAAACGCCTTTTCCGTCCCGACCTTACCCCAGCCACCGCCGCCTGGGGTGTTGATGATGATCCTCTCACCCGGCTTCATTGGCGCGCTGTTCTTAGCACCCAGGTTAAATCTCCTCTCCTCGTACTCCACCTCAGCATCCTCTCCGCTGCTCTTCCCGCCCTTGAGCCTCTTGAGGGATTTCTCCCAGCTGCCCTTCTCAACCTTCCTTACCCAGATGTTTAGTCCGGACTCGCCATCCTCGCCGCCGGCGAGCCCATATGGCCTGTATACCCGCCTCTCACTGAGGATCGAGACCTGTACCGGGATACGGAACTCGATGTCCCTCACGACGCCGTCGCCGCCGCGGTGCTGTCCGTCTCCACCAGACCCGTCCCGCAGCGAGAACTCGCGCAGGATCACCGGATAACGCCGCTCAAACACCTCCGAGTCCGTGATGCGCGTGTTGGTCATGTGAGTGTGCACACCACTGGTTCCCTCCCAGGTTGGACCTGCGCCGCTGCCGCCCGCGATCGTCTCATAGTACCCGAACCCTTTGACTTCTTTTTGGCCCGTGAGGTTCCCGCCAAAGCCAAATGTGAGGTTGTTACAGTCACCTTGGCTCGCCGCGCACGCTTGGAAGGCCTTGAAGATGACGTCCGTCACGCGCTGACTCGTCAGCACGTTGCCGCCAACCACGGCGGCGCCGCCCGAGGGGGAAAGGAGCGACTTTGGCGGGATCTTGACGTTAATGGGCTTGAGACATCCCTGGTTCAGGGGAATGTCCTCGGAGATGAGGCAGCGGAGGCAGTAGATGATGGCGCTGTATGTCACGGCCTCTGGAGCGTTTATGTTGCCGTACACTTCAGTACCGGTGCCCTCAAAGTCGAAGACCGCCTCACCCTTTTCAGCGTCGATCGTCACCTTCAGCCGAATGGGGCTGCCGTCGTCCATGAAGTCTACCGCCTGGAGGTCTCTGCCCTCGAAGCGCTTGCTGACTCCTTTCAGGAGCTTACGGACGCACAGCTCTGCATTGTTCTGGATGTGGACCATGTAGAACTGCACCGTCTCCTCGCCGTACTCCTCAATGAGTCCCTCAATAAGCGCAATACCCTTCTGGTTAGCCGACACCTGAGCTCTCAGGTCATTGATGTTGTCAGCTAAGCAGCGGGTCCCGCTGCAGCCAGGGTATTGTGCGGGCTCGTTGTATAGCAGCTCTGTCACTCTCTTCTCATCGAAGCGGCCTTCGCTCACAAGCTTCTCGCTCTTGATCGCGGCACCTTCTTGAAACAACTCCTTTGAGTGAGGTGGCATACTGCCGGCGGTGATGCCACCGATGTCTGCGTGATGCGCCCTGGAGGCCGCGTAAAAGAGAATTTTATCGCCTTTCTCGTTGAAGGCCGGCATTACGAGGGTGATATCCGGCAGATGAGTGCCTCCATACGAAGGGTGATTGGAGATGATGACATCGCCCTTCTTCAAATCGCCCTTCCATATCTCAGCTTGGCGCTTGACGCAGGTTGACATGGAGCCCAAGTGAACCGGCAAGTGAGGAGCATTTGCCACGAGGCCACCCGACGCGTCGAAGATGGCGCAAGAAAAATCTAGACGCTCCTTCACGTTGGTACTGACACTTGTCTTCTGCAGTGCTCTACCCATCTGTTCTGCAATCGCCATGAAGCGATGACCAAAGATGCTCAGCATGATGGGATCAACCTCGCGTTCCCCTTGGCTCTCTTGTGTGCTGTTATAAGTAGTCAGCATTGTAGTTCTTGTTTGAGTTTGGCGTACATACTTGTCCTCTTTGGAGCCGTCCTTCTGGATGTCGATGATAACATGGGTATCGAGTACTAAGGCTGTGGCCTTGGGCGTGACCACAATCGTCTGGGTTCCATCGGCCAGCACGGCGGGCCCCTTGATGGTCTCGCCGGTGCTCAGGTCTTCAAGCTTGTACACAGGAGTATCAAGTCGGCCCTCCTCGAAAAACACTTTCTGTCGGTTATGTGCCTTGCTCTGCTCCACATCCTTGCGCCTCAGTTCCTTCAGCTGCTGATCGACTGTCTTTTCCGTATGTCTGTAGCTCTTGCCAATGCCTCTGACGCGTACATCATCCACAATAATGTCTCTGTCATCGAGGGTAAACCCGAACTCGTAACGATGCTGCTGGATGAAAGCGGTTCCAAAGTCCCAGCCCTTGGCGTCATTCTGTTCGTCTTGGCCCGGCTTGATGATCATCAACGCCGACTCGGTACCACGGTATCTCATGTTGAGGTACTCCTCAAAGACGATTTCTTTTTCTTCGAAGCCCTGGTTGCGTAAGGCATTGCGAGATCTTTCCTTCAACTTCTCCATCTTGCTCTTCAGCTCGTCGACCACCTTGCCCGAGCACTCCCAGACCTTGGAGTCAGGCTCTTGGCGTTCGTCAACGACATCGGCCAAAGCCATGCCGTACGCCGAAAGGACGGAGGAGTATCTGTGGATGAGGATCTGTTGGATTCCGAGGGCTTCCGCGATGGCGACAGCATGCTGACCACCAGCACCACCAAAAGTTGCCAACCGATGCTTCGATGAGTCATGTCCTTTAGCCTCGGTGATTGATCGGATGGGTCTCGTCATGGTCTCGTTGGCCACAGTCAGAAAGCCATACGCCACCTCATCAACACTCATGTTTTTTCCAGTCTCCTTATTGATCCGATCAGCAAGCTCCTGCAGCACCTTCTTACTGGCCTCGGGGTCAAGCCCTTGGTCCTCGTTCTCGCCGAAAATCTTGGGGAAAAACTCGGGCAGCAGGCGACCGAGATAGAGGTTCGCATCCGTGACGGTCGCAGGACCCCCTTTTCGGTAACATGCCGGACCCGGGTGCGCTCCAGCAGACTCTGGCCCCACGACAAAGAGGCCATTCTTCCAAAACAGCATCGACCCACCACCTGCAGCCACTGTGTTGATGTCCAGCTGCGGCGACTGGATGGTCACGCCGGCGGTAGTGGTCTCGAATACATGCTCATAGCGACCCTCGCCAAATCTAGAGACATCAGTGCTCGTGCCTCCCATGTCAAACCCGATCACTGGAACTTTGGTCTCTTCATCGTATGATGTGATGGCATACCCCACAACGCCACCTGCCGGTCCGGACAGGATGGCCTTGAGGCCGGTAAAGTTTTCCACGTCCACAAGGCCGCCGTCGCTCTGCATGAACTCGCAGCGCGCGCCCTTGGCGCCTTCCTCCTGCTGGACGCTCCTTGTACCCAAGCCGCCCTCGAACCCGGCTTGGAAGCCCGAAATGTACTTCTTGATGGCAGGTGTGAGGTACGCGTCCGCGCAGACGGAGGTTGCTCGTGAGACCAGCTTGATCATTGGCATGAGCTCGTGACTGAGGGAAATATGCTTGAATCCAATATCCTTGGCAATTTTTCCGATAAGGGCCTCGTGATCGGGGAAGGTGTAGCCGTGCATCAGGCACACAGCTATGCTGCGGATACCAGAGTCGTATACCTCTTGCAGCTGACTCCTGATACGCTCAGCCTCGGGCCGCTGGAGTATTCTCACAGCTTCCCCTGATGTGCCCTGGACAAGCTCTTCTTTCGCGGCCTCGGGCGTCCCCGCCTTGGCAGAAGCCTGCGTCAAGTGTCTCTCGGGATCCTCAGCGTAGTCCTCCAGGGTCACACGCTCATCAATCTCGACCACCTTCTCATACAAAACGTCGGGTTTCCTGATTGCCAGATCAAAAATCTTGGGCCTGCTTTGGTTGCCGATGGCGAGGCAGTCCTTGAACCCCTTTGTGACGACCATGGCGATCTTCTCGCCCTTGCGCTCCAGCAATGCATTCGTCGCTACGGTGGTGCCCATACGGATGGATTCGATATTTTTAGTGTCGAGTGCCTCGCCGCGGGGTATTTCGTGGCCGAGGAAGTGCGACATGATACGGCGGATGCCCTCGAGGGGCGCATCTTTGTAGTTGGCCGGATCTTCGGAAAGGAGCTTGATGATGATCTCCTTGCCGTTGAGCTCGCCAACACAATCTGTAAAGGTTCCACCGCGGTCAATGGCGATGCGGATGCCACGGTCTCGTGAATCTGTGGTCATTTTGAGGGCCAAGTGGGCAGGCCGCGAAAGAGTGTGTGGTGGTTCGCGGATGTGAATGCTCAGAGAGGGGTGTGTGTAGGTATATGTGCTGCTCTTCAAGGCTTTACAAGTCAAATTAGGGTAGCTTTCAGAGATGAGATCAATCAGTTGGTTAGAGATTCGGAGATGAATGTCAGAACAATCGATGACAAATGGTCGACGTCGTGATCGGAGGCCATTGCCGATCAGATAAGGAGCTCAAGCTCCGCACCCCACCATTAGCGTGAATTACCCCGCTGTACGCTATCACTTTGTGGGGATGCCTGTGAGCTTCTACCATTGCGCATGGGGCTTTCCTTCCTTCGACTTTTGGCCATCTGCCTCACCCAACCCGGTAAAGCATATTGACGGCGATTGAAAAAGAAATACAAAGCTTTGGGCCCTCGGGGATCGAGGAGGAGGTCCGGAAAGCAAGCCTTCAGCCGATAGCTATCCATTACCTATGACACGCCGCAGGTGGTTGGTTTCATGGGAAATGCTTCAAGGATCGTTTTTGCCCTCACGAAGGGAAGCCCCATTTCTCGTCAACCGGTAAGTAGCTCTGGCTCGTATGTGTCGTCAATTATTAAGTAAAGTAAGTTTATGTAGTCTTGTTCTCGTCCTCTTGCCTGCCAGGTTGTCCAGCATCGTTCGTTTCCCATGTCTTTCTTTCAAGTCATCTTAGTCTTACAAAAACAGCGCCTGTCTTGAGCCTTCCTCCAGCCTCCATCGCTTGCGTCTCGGCTTTTTGGTACATGATGCGCTGTGCTGGCGCCAGGGGAACATGTAGAAGTGAATTAGTGGGTAATGACCCTGACGGCTTGAAGCAGCATGCCAAACATGAAGCCTCTCGCCACCTCCTCAATCTGAAGACTGTCAAAGATACGTCCGAGGGCGTCGGTCGTTGCCGCTTGTCCCATGACGCCAGACAAAGCGGCCGGGACACCCCTCTTGATGAGTAAGTTGCGGGCCTTGATGCGCAGCTTCTCCTTCTCTTCATCAGTCATCTCAGAAGGCCATGTGGCACGCTCCTCGTCCGTCGGCATTGTGTTTTCTCTTAGCTTGCGTAGGTGGTGCGCGAGACCCTCGTCCTTGGTGTTGGCGTCAATGACAGACTCTTGCATCATCTTCTGGATTGAGAGCAGGGATGGGTTGCCTGGTCGCAAAAGGAACGACTTAGCGGCGGCCAACAGCGTACGCCGGATGTTCCAAGCGGACGAGAGCGTGTACATCTCATTGATGATGGCGAAGACCAGCTCGACAGCCACGTTCGTTTCTTGCTCCGACAATGGAGGGTGTTGTCGTGCGGGTTTTGGCCCCTTCTTAGTTGTCTGGGCTTGCGGTGGGCTGAGCGAGGCAGCCCCGGTTGAGTTGCGTGGTGCAGCAAGATCGTTCATGTTGGACTGTATGTCTCCATGCGTGGGCAATTGGTAGTCTTCGGGCATCTCATCTGGAGGTGGTGGGAGATACTGGAGATTCATAACATCAAGGCTCGTTGAGGAGGGTGACCTCAGCGCGGGCGACTGCAAAGGCGCTAGGCTAGAAGCTCTACTATGTTCGCGACTGCCGGTAGCGCTTGTAGAGTTCCTTTCCCAGCGATCAGAACGAGGCTTGAGGCCATCTGCTTCAGAGTCTCCCCGTGGATCGAAGCTGGGCCGTCGCTCCATCGGAGCAATCTTCCCCGGTTGGGTCGCGACGATTGAAGATCGTTGGCTATCGAGACTGTCCCTGCCCTTTCGGGGGCCCGCTCCGGTTGGCGATGTGACGGCGGCATTGAGGCTAGTGATGCTGTCCATCCGCGGCGGTGTTCCTGTCGACCATCGGTTTGATGTTTGAATTTCCGACAGGGAAGACGTCGTGTTTTTCCTCGGGCCAAGGCCGATGTTGTTGAAAACGCCAGTCACCCCGCCAAACACTGCCTTGCCGCCCTCCATAGCACCCTTTGGTCCCATCGTCAAAACGTCCAACATGTTCTTGCCGACAGTGTCCCAGGCCAGGCCAGACTTGGAACTACTGTGCCCATGGCCCGACTCCTTTTCGAGGAATCGTTTCATGCCCTCACTCTCAGCGAGTGACTTGTACCAACAGGCATCTTTCACGTATCGTTCCAACTCACCACGCAGGGATGCCCGCGTGTGCGATTTCCAGTTAGGAAGCGTCGAGTGTTGCTCTGTAAAGGCCGTTACGCCCGAAATCGTTGCGATACGCCTGAGAATCTCGTGCAAAGTCTCAAAGTCCGAATATTGCCTGACGATCATCCAACCGGGATGATGGGAGGACGATGGCTCGATCTGAACCATGTATTCCCAAGTCGGCTTGCTCCGGATTTTGCTGCTATCATTGCCGTCCTCATAGAGGGTGATGGTGGCATTGTGAAGAGTCAAAGGAGGCTTGCGGGAGCCCTCTTCTGATGCTTCCGGGTCTTCCTTGGCAGGTGGTACGATTTGATCGAAGTTGAGGAATTGAGATGTGCTTCCGTTGGAGGTGTGTTTCGGCGACGATTTCTGGCTGGAAGAATCCGCAGCAGATCGCGGTGTGATGGGTGAGTGCACGCTTTCACCTTTGTTGGAGCTGTTGGATTCATGGGAGCCATGCGATCCGTTTGTCGACGGTTTCTCTGCCGAAGACAACGATCTCGGCGACAGCTCCCCAGGTGAGGACACTATGTTGCTCTCAGTAGCTTGCACTGTCGGCCTTGGCATCGAGTCAACGCTTTGTCGTGCCGTGGCTCTCTTAGCCTCTTCCTCGGCAATCAAGGCGTTCATGCGTTTCATCTCCTCCATGGCCTCCTCCATCTCCTCGTCAGCCTTGCTGAGCTGCTTTTTGTGCGCCGCCGATGAACCTTTCCGGCGTTCTCGCTCCATATCCAGTGAGTTGCGGTTCCCCTTGGCCAGGGAAATATTGCCGAGGTTTCCGTCAATGTCAACGAAGGCGTTATTGTTCGCACTGCTAACGTTGCTAGCATTGGCTGCGTCGGGCCCTGTCTGCATGCCAACGTCGATGGCCTGGCTGAAATCGGGCTCTCCAGCTTCCAGCAGGTACACGATCCATCCGTTGATCCACTCCGGCTTTGAGAACGACTGTAAGCTCATTTCAAGAATTACACCGGCCAGGATCTCTCTCAGGAACGCGCGTGCCGGGTCGCAATTGTATGCTGACCGGTCCAAGAAGCCAAGGAGATCATCTGCCACATTGCGAAACTTGGCCGCTTGTTGTGGATGGTTCAAGAGGTTGGCCAAGTTCGAATTGGGGTTATCTTCAAGGTACTTGGCGATGATGTCGACGGCGGAAGAATTGGGATCGTTATGTTGCTCGGTAAACGCTGAGGAGAGCTCGGAAAGGAAGACGATGAACATGGACGAGGCATTGGTCATGAAATCGATGAAGGAATCGGCGGGTCGCTTGCGATAGAGGTGGTTCGAGACGGAGAGGAGGAACGAGTTAAGGAGCCTCCTGCAGGATAGAGGGAATGAGCTGTCGTTGGGGAGAATGGGAGAGTACCACCATTTGACATAGTCGCGGATGATGGCGTCCACCAGGCCAGTCAGCGCCTCGCGCGTCTCGGGCTGGAAGTCGTCGAATCCGTGTATGAGTCGGTCCTCCTCTTCCGCGTCGTTCTTGGGCGGTTCGGCGATCTTGACCAGCGCCAGGCGTTGAAGAACGTCGATGCCCTTCTCGCCTCGGACTGCGCGCGAGACCTCTGGATGACGCGCCTCATAGGTGATGAAGGTGACAACGCCGCCGAATGCGCCAATGAGCACGAGTCCAACCTTGCCAAGGATGAAGTAGGTTGAAGCTGCCAGGCCGACTGCGACGGCTCCGAGGGCTTCGGGAGTGGCGGTCGACAAGAACCTGAGGACTTTGGCCACCAGGTCATTCTCTTCTTCGGCAGGTTTTGGCGCATCAGGTATAGATGCCGACGTTATTGAAGGGATGGAAGCGGCAGCAAGTTTCTCTTCAATCGCAGGGGGGACGGGTGTTGTCGTCGCTATCTTCTCGGTCGCCGGCAGCTTCTCGTCGGAGACGACCGGTGCTCCGGGTGGATGCACTTCAGCCCGCGTCGAGTCCATGTTTGCTTAGTTCGTCGGTCTATAGGTTCCGGGACCGCGCCCTCTCACATCCCTGGTGCTGGCGGCCAAGACAACAAAGCGTGCATTGATCGAGTCAAGCGGAAATAACAAGCGAGTTTTGATCGAGGTATAAGTTTTAAAACAGTGTATATAGCAGTCGGCGGTGTACCTTAGCTGCAAGCTGCAAACGCAAGTCTGGAGAAAGAGAAGGGAGAAAATAGAGGCAGAGGACAGGCTGTCCGTCTCTTCCGGGTGGTTCTTGTCAGCCACACGCTACACCAGTAGTGTTTCGGAAAGTTGAGTCGGAAAAAAAGGCGTGCATCGACTGATCCCGGTGGAACAGATCAGATGTCGTTCTAAAAGGGGCCTAAGCGCGAATGGGGATTGGGGAATGGGGAAAGGACGGCAATGAATTCTTGTTGACGTCTCTTTTAGGTGGAGTTTGTGTGGCAGGATAACACACCAGGAATGGGAATTCAGCTCGTGGTCCAGCTCCAATCTACTAATTTTAGTGACAGAGCCCCTGCAACCGAACGTCCTCCCTACTGTGTTACAGTGTACCATCATGCTAAAACAAAATGAGATGAAATAAAATACAAACTCCCCCATTCTGTTTGTGGGAGGTATTTCTTTACACCCTTGAGTGCACTTCTTTATTGATTTCGGTTGCGGAACTGTACCAGATCGAAGGGGCTAAAAGAAAAAAAGGCAAACGGATACTCTCTCCTCAGAGGAAATGAGATGCTGAACGGATGCGGGGTTGATACAAACCTCAAGTAATAGTTGTTTCTAGGTCAAGGGGCCGGCTAATTATTGAGTGAGCTCTCGAGTTGAGGCAAAACGACGATGTTCCTTGCAGAGGTAGGGGGGGGGGGGGGGGCGCGCGACATGTATCTTCACATACCACTTCATCAGTGACCAAATTGCGGCAGAATGGACAAACAGAATCACGTGAGTCTTCGTCACATGGTCTGGCGTTTCCCCGATTACGTCATCTGGAGAAGTCGCGACGAACTACTTTACTCGACCGACCACAACGCGCCTGCCAAGTGGTTGACAACTCACTGTGCACGCAACCGATCACCTAGGGGTTCTGCGACTCGGGAACCAGAAACCAAGCCACAGATTGATTCTGAGAACCAAGCCATTTAACGCAAGCGCAGCTGCCAACTTCCGCCCCAGCGAACAATGCCGTTCTCGAAGGGTACCAAGCGCGGTGCCCCGCGCGACTCGCGTAGCGACTCCGAGGACGGGGTCGTCGCCAAACCCACCAAGAAGAGCAAGATGTCCAACGCTGAAGGCAGCTCGAGCGGTGTCGACAAGGAGGGTAATCCCTACTGGGACGTAAGCAATCCTTTCTTCTTGTTCACTTTTCGTCTGGTCCTCGACTCTCCCGGCCAATGGGTGCTGATGGCTCCCTTCCAATAGCTCTCCAACAAGCGCCGCGTCGGCGTCTCGCAGTTCAAGAACAACACTTTTATCAACATCCGCGAGTTTTACGAAAAGGATGGTGACATGCTGCCTGGCAAGAAAGGCATCTCCCTCAACATAGCCCAGTACGAGGCCCTGGTCAAGGCCATTCCAGCTATCAGCGAGAAGCTCCGCGCCATGGGCCACGATGTCGAGGATGTCGAGGAGGATGGCGGCGCGCCCACCGCAGTCGAGTCTCAGGAGAAGCCAACCAAGGAGAAGCCAAAGGTCAAGAAGTCCAACATTGAGGCTACCAGTGACGAGGGGTCGGAGTAGGCTCCGAGCTTGGGTGGCGAGATGTGCACCTCCGCTGCTTCGAGTGCGACTATGAGTTCGAGCTTGGGGCCCGATTCCACTTGAAGAAACTCGGGGTATGGTTAAGTTTCTTTCTTTTTTTTTTTTTTTCCAAGAAAAGTTTCCACGTAATTAGTTGCTGCTTTCTCCTGGCCACGATCAACAGGATGGATGTATGATGGGAGACGACGGGATACCAATTCGGCGCGTATGACAGAGCGCGATAGCTAACTGGCTCGAATTCGAATTGAAATTTTTCTACCAAGCTTTGTGATTTGCCTTGTGAGGTTATGAGGGGTTGGCGAGATTCCAATTGCACGAATAAACTTGTCTAGATTCCGACCTTGCTTGCGCCGCTGTATAAATACCGGAATAGCCCCGCCTACCATTGGGAAGAGAACCTTGTTCTCAGGGACAGATATCATTATGACCTAGGGAAAGTCATTCTGTTACCTCTCATTCTTCCATTAGATTATCGCTCAAAGTCCTAGTAAGCTAGGCACCAGTCGGTACGGGGTTGTAAGAGTCTAGCGACGATGACTATAACCGTTGTCCTCATATTATTGGCCCTAGATACCGCGGAGACGGCATGTACGTGAAGGTTTGGCGGGCGACCACGTAAAGTGGTTCTTATAACCCATGGCTTCCAGACGACAGGCTTCTAGGCACCAGATATTATGATGGAAGGCTCTTAGGATAAATGTAATCATAGGTTCACGGGTATACGGTATTTTGAAAAGAATATATGGCGTCTACTTTTGGGGAAATTGCTAAGAAAGGTACCTGAATCATTTTTCGAATATGGTCTTCTTCAAAAAACCACCCTTTCCCATAAAGGGATAAGTTTAGACAAAACTCTTTCTCGGTAATTCCTTGTGATCCAGCGGTTCTATCTTGTGGTTTGTTCCATGCACACCCAAGGATCATATCGATATCAGCCAGTGTAGTCCATACGAAGTGGTTTTCCCATAGAAGAATTGAGAAGATACAATCTTGATTCCCTCTTCCCAGCAAAGAGGGTACTTGTCTCTATCAATAGCTAAAACAAAGAAACAGCCTCTGGTGGGCCGTGATATACATCTGCCGTCCCTGGAAGACTGCAGAACACTCCTGCAGGCAGCAAAAGCAGTGAGAGGTCTAAGAAATCAACTCACATACGTAGGGTCGGTAGATACTTGAATATGAAATTCCGTCCCAGAAACAAGCTGAAGCTTGGGTCATGGGCTGTCATGCATCGACTAGTATATTGCAACCTAGAACGGTACCTGTCGGACTAGTCGTGGTAGATATCGTAAGATCTCCTGACGGGGTAATTATCTCACGAGTAGCCACTGATTATATAGGTTTCTCGCGAAATTTTGACCTCTGGAAGCGTCAAGGGGGATTCGAAATCAAGAGTAATGCATGACACAGAAACATATTGATCAAGGATCGGGGTCCATCAACCAAACAGCAAGCGACAGATCGTTCAGTGCCACGACAATTCAAAACATGGGGTCCCTCTGATAATTCGAAGCCCCCCCCCCACGTTTTTGGTCCATGTCCATGTTGTTATCTTATTGATCCTTCTCGATCAAGCAACCCGGTGGGTCGGGTGTCCCATGGAGGAGGCCAAGTAGCGTTTGCAGCTGCTCACAAATCAAATTTGAGAATCCATGACTAATACTCGCAGACATGTATTCTCTCTGATTGTCGCTCGATGTGGAAAGCAGTCACAGCAACACATTCGAGGATGCCAAGTCATTGATCCGAGGACAAGCTTGGTTCTGTGCCTCCACTTAACGCCTTGCTTAGGTTTCGATATGAGAGACACGCCAAGAAGCGGAGGAACGACATGTCGACTGTCGTGAGTATCACAGGCGTCCAGGCTCCGGTTCAAACAAGACTTACTGGCAAGAACGTATCGTCAGATTGGGACGGTGGTAGCCGTCTGGTTGTAAAACCCGAACAGCGCTGCCTCGCATCATCCTAAGCGACTAGACAGACACCACGGGCGACCTCGTTCAACCGCGGACAAACCACGTCCACTTTTACACCCGAACAGTCCTTTCAAACAGTCGTTTGCGCTGTTCCCCTGTATTCGAAATCGCCGACGCGGTCCGCAGGATCCCGGAGGGTCTCCAGCCCGTCTCGGAGTGGGTCGACGGAGCAAGTGTGGGAACAAACAAAGGATTCCCCCCCGGCCGGAGATCATTGCAGGTGGACACCGATTCCGAGGGCAGATAGAGTGAGAGGGACAAGGACCCTGCATCCGCCGAGCGCAAGTGAAGGATCTTAATCGTGCGTCTGGCCCTTTGTGCCCGCTGGTTGGCCGACACACTGCAGCACCGGTTAGGGTATCTTCATTCCAGGAGCAGCTACCGATGGCAATCGCTTGCAACCCACAACAAAGGAAATACGTGTCATCTCCTTCTGAGTAGGGTTCACGCCATTCGGATCCCCCTCCCTTAATGGGTTCCTTAGCTTTAGGCTGTATATCGCGTTTGGATCCGATATCAGCCTGAGCGCCGACGTTCATTTGGAGGGGCCCAGATGATCCGCTTGTGCCGTTCTGCGCCGTTTCATTCCGCGTTTAATTGCGGTGGGTCAAGCCTCCAAATCCTCTCCCATGTTTCGTATTTCGCCGAGATGTCACCCAATTTTTTTCCCTGGACGCAACCGTCCCGCGATCTCAAATCCCTGCTTCCAGAAGCCAATCTCTCTTCACCACCTCCTCGGGGTCTCGGGGGCAGGGGGGGCTTCTCTGCGCCAAACTCTGTAGCAGCGTCGCAGGTCTAGGGAAGCTTGGTGTCGACAATCCAACGGCAAGCGCCGTGGCCGATCCTCATCATCTCGAAAGGAGCATCGACGAAATAGAGTCTACATAGTAGTCTGCTCGCCCTTCGGCGAAAGGTCCTCCATCTCCTGCACTGTGCGAAGATGTATGTTGCCTCCTCCGCCGTACAGGCCTCCGGCTTCCCGCCTTTCTCTCTCCTCAACCAAACCAGACTTGTCAGACCGCCCCGGCATCAGCCGGTCGTGGCTAGAAGCTTCGGGATGGAACGCGCGCGTTTGCCCCCCCCCCCCCCCCCCCCCCCCCCGCCGACCACGCTCGCCTCGCGCCTCTCAGCCCCGATATGCATGCTCGAAGCAGTGCAAGCGCGGCTTGGCCCGCGTGGCGGTGCGAGCGAGGACGTCTTACGGCGGGTCGTGGGTGACGACGACGTCCACGTCGTCGTCCTCAGCCGTCCCGCCAGTGGATGTTGTATGGCCGTTTGCAGAGAGGTTGCGTAAGGTGCCATTGGGGAGGTTGAACGTGTGGGTACCTTCGGCCGACAAGCTGGTGCCGGCGTCGTCAACGGCGTCGTCCTCGTTCTTAGCGGATGCCTAGACGAGACGTCGTGCCTCGCCAAAGGGGTCGCATCCCTTCCGGGCCGGCTGAGCCACCTATAGCCGCAGAGGATGGCCACGGGGTCATTCGGCGTGCGCACTGCTTGCCGTACGAGGTGGCATGGAGAAAGTCGTGGTAAATTGGTATTCAATATCAGAACTGAGTCTGTGATGGTTGCATGGCTTGGTCCGATTTCAAGATGTCGCTGCCATTTTAGAGCTGCTTTCCTTCCGCGGGCTACGAAAGATCAATGCAGATGGTTGGTCTCTTGAAACATTCCCTTCAGCAAGACCGCGTATTTGGAAATTATACCGTATGTGGCCAGTGCAGTATTTCAGTAGCCTTGGTAGCGATCCCATAAATCAAAAGATTTGGAGCACAACCATCGACGGTCCTGGCTAGCATTGGTTTCTGAAGAGTTCTCCTCATGTTCGCAGTGGCACCACATTTTGCAACCGAAACGACTTGATGGACTATCGGCCTGGTGACAGCCCATGGCACGTTGTTTGCAGTTCTACCGAGGCACCTCGCAGTTTGTAGTTGAGGGCAACCACGGTGCCGAAACGGCCAATTGTGGCTTTGCTCGACTCAGCCGGAGCTTAGCGTTCAAGCGATACGGACGCCAGACTTGCCGGTCTTGATAGAGACGTGATGCGTAGACCCAGCCGCAGCATAAGCTCAGCACACAACAAGAGATGAATAAACTTGACAACGGAGAGAGTGTGAACCACGCACTTGGCACCACTGCACACCGCAGTTCCGTTAGATCCGTTGATGCCATAACTTTACATTGAGGCCGCCACAAACTCCAAGGAAGGTACCGGGAGAAACCAACACCCGCCCCCCACAGATTTGCAGAGGGAGCCTGGGCTAAAATTCAGGAAGAGTGGTGGTGTGGTGTGATGTGGTGTGCTCGTGGAGTTCGGATTCATTTGAGTTTGAGAAGCAACATCGGATGGATTGTCGTCGATGACATGAAGCCAAGTTTATTGCCCCCAAAAGCAAGGCTGGGGAAGGATCGGTCATCGCCCGTGCTTTGTGACCACTGACAATGACGATATTATGAAGGCCAGCCAAAACCGCAAGTGCCACGGGAGTCAATATGAGACCACTGCCGACGTTGTTTGGAAGCTGGCGTTACTGGGATGGCTGAAGGATGTGCGTTTCTACCGAGGAGGAGAGGGGCGAAGTGCGCCGCAACAGGGTTTAGGGAGGAGTCCTGGAACCAGATTGAGGCGATTCAGCCCCAATGGCGGGGAGCACAAGTGGTTGTGAACTCCATGGGTGCGGCGGCAGTCCTAAGCCTGGTTCGGGTTGGTGGTTGTTCAACAGGAGGCAGTTCTCAGATTCCGCGGCAGAATTACAAGTACAAGTGAAGTGCGAGTCGAGAGAGTGAAGGAGGCTGAGCATTTGAGACGGTGGAGACGTGGCGGGAATGCGGGTTAAAGGCGTCGTCACCTGTGAACAAGTGTGGCGTTGAACCGATACTTGTACATACGTAGCTACCTAGGCATCTACGTACTTGCCTCTCTCTACCGCTCCTGTTTCTACACCATTTGTTTCCCTTGTACGATGTTTGTGTTTGTACATACAACAGCCGGTACACAGCATTTGGAGTTTTATTTTTAGAGGCACTAGTGTGCACTGCGAGAAAGAATTGCATGCTGCACAACTATGTACTCGCAACCTTTGGCTTTGCTCTCTTGCTCTGGCCATAAACTGCTGGCCTCTCAATCAACCTTACTGGCCCTCAGACCATCCCCTGTCATCAAAGAACGGCGCCCGTTACTCTATATCAGTGGCTCGGAAAGTTACAGACCCCCAGTCCAACCCCAAGCGAGGCCGTCTCCTCCTTGCTCAATCAAACAACGGGACCCTAGCAGTGCATGCGACAACGGGAACCACGACATCGAATGGGCAACAACCCTCTTGCGACCGTCGCGGGTACGAGGGAGGGGGGGAAATAGGTACTGTACACGATAGAGGGCTCCGGTAGATGCGTTGCTGAGCTGTTCTCGGATCGACTGTCATTGCGATTGACAGATGGACGGACAATTATCCTGCAGCAGGTGAACAGGCCTGACATGTGTAGGTAGTCCCCCCTCATGTGGCTTGATCTAGGGACTCAGCGGTGGTCTGCCCTTGCTCAGCCAGGGCTGCCATGTTGGTGGCCCCCATCCCTCTAAAACCTCCCCGCTAGGCTGGTCACGCACTTCATATACGCGTATACCCTTCCCCGATGGCTGTTGGCTTTTGGCTGTCTGGGATGGGGCCCTGGCGACGTCACCCGGCACCCCTGAATTGCGCCGACCAAGAGCAGAAGCTGGTTGATGTACATGTTGATGGCTTTTAAACTACCACCTACCTACCCACCCATACTACTTTTATATGTGGGCAAGTATTGACGGGTTCCTCCCTCTAACCCCAAGGCAAACAAATCATTCTTCTGGAAGCTGGAAGCCAGAACATCTTCTTTCCTTGCGAAGGGCGTGTTACGTGTCAAGTACACAGTACCTACCTGGCAGAAGCACAATGCCTCTACCGGTAGCTTCTGAGTGACCAATCTTGTTCCGTCTTCAACCCTAAGAACCCAGAAGCTTGGAGATGCCGCGCCACGCCAGAATGTCTGAAACGCGATAACTCAACCTCGGTCTATAACGCGTGCTTGGCGCAGTGAGGGGACACCGCCAACTTGGACGGATAGCACTAACTGTCTGGGTAGTGTAGATCGCGACCCTGCGGATCTTTTCTACTTACCTCATGATGCAGTCCACCTCATCCACCCGGCGTACTTAAATGCCTAGGAAGGCACTTACCTAGGTAGGTAGCATATATGTAGCGAATGTACCTTTGTACTCTGTACAGAGTACGTAAACCACATAGACGATGTGCATCGTAGGTAGGCTGGGGGAAGAAAGCAAGGAAGCAAAGAAGGAGGGAAGGAAAGGGGAAGGAGTAAAGGAAGATCCCTTAGTCAGACGTGGAGCTGCTCCTGCTCGCTGCTGCGCAACGAAACCCTGTACTGTGGTCGCTCCCACAACCATCGCTACCCCTGTAGCAAATACATTCCCCCCCCGTCCTGGCCATCCTGCTACGGGCTCAATCAGCTTGAAACCGCGCCTACCCAACTTCTTGAGCGACACTCTCCTCCCTGACCTTCTCTCCCAAATTTGACCGAACACATCCCTTCTTCTCACCCTCTCCCACTCCTCCATCAGCCTCGAAACCCGTCAGGCGCATTGAGTTAAGCACCGACCCGCGCTCGCGCCCATTACTGTCCTGCAAGTATACCATACCGCAGACGCCGCTGCGCATTCCGTTATTGCCAGGACCAGGACGTACACACACAACCGCGCAACGGGCCACCTCCCTGCTTACCTAGCTTGCCTTGCAAAAGAAGGGTAAGCACGAGCAAGGAAGGAAAAGAAGGGGAAAGAAAGAAGAGAAAAAAAAGGAAAAAAAGAAAGGCCCTACTTACCTTCTGGCACGTTGCCAAAGGTATCAGCAAGGTATCGTCGCGGAAGGGGGAAACAAGTAACAGGGGCTCAGCTGAGGTTGAACCCGCCGACAAGACCGACCCCCGACGCCTGCGACTGCGACTGCGACTGCGACTGCGACTTTGCGACCTGGTCTGGATCCAAACAGTCCCAACTCTCTCCCATCCTATCTATCCACTTTCCATCTCGACGTCCCTTATTGCCTCTCATCTCGCGACACACAGGTGCCCACACAACGACGCTCCTAAGTGGCCACTACCTTTCTGCACAGCACGGCGCATCCGCTACACAGCCAAAACCTAGAAACACACATACCGCTCTCCCCGAGGGACGCGGATCGCCTACCTGATCCATCCTCATATCCACCCATAGACTCTCCTAGTCACAAACATCGGGCACCCGTTCTTTTGATTGAACCCCTCAATACCATCTCAACCATGTCGTATAATCGTTTAGGCAAGTTCCATGGTGTCCCTCTATTCCCTGGTGTCACTTATCCCAAATCCCCCCCTCCCTCTCCTTCCCGCACAAAGCCCCGACTGGGTCCGTCTGCGAACGCAACCTGGTGTCTGTCTGGTTTAACCATCCTGCAATTCCGTCCCAACCGCACTGCCTTTTGTCAAAGAGCTGGTTTGCCTGCTGTTCAGGAGTACGAATACGCAACTTCGTGGCGCAACCTTCTTCTCTTCCCCTCCTACATACAATCTTTTCTTTCCCGCTTCCTTGACGCATATCCTCCCACGTCTCGGTGACTTGGCCAGACAGCGAATCTAACATTCTGCCTCCTACAGACGACGATTATTACAACGACCGCATGGACCC